AATCCCAGAAGACAGTGAGGGAGAAAGGAACAGAAAAGCCCATTGGAAGACATAATGATCAAAAATTGCTAATTACAGAATGCAAAAGAAACAAATTCAACGCCTTAAGAATATCCAATTAGGATAAATCCAAGAGACGTACAACAAACATCATAATAAAACTGTCAAAATTCAGAGATAAAGAAAGAATTCTAACAACAACCAAAAGAAGAGCTAACTGTCACCCAAGATTGTGTTGATGTAATATTTTTAAAAAATTGCTCAGGAGAAACATCAGAGTATACAGGCAAGTAGGATGGTACAGTCAAAGCTCAAAAAAAAAAAAAAAAAAAAAAAAAAAAAAAAAAAAAAAAAAAAAAAAAAAAAAAAAAACAAAAGCAAAAACAAAAACCACTGGCAAATAAAAATACTATACCCAAGAAAATGTTCCTTCCAAAAGCATCAAAAAATTACATCTTCCTTAGTTAAACAGAAGTGTATGGAGTTGGTTATCACTACATCTGCAGCTATGCTCTGCAGAATTGAAGGTTCTGGATGGAAAAATTACCTAGAACCATGTTGTATACTCATATGAATACACCTAACACTACTTTCCAGTTAAAGCAAAATATGGAGGAGTTTGCCAACTGCATATGAATTTGCTGACATACATTACCTGAAACTTTAAAATTAACTGAAATACCTATGAGAGACACACAAAAATGCAAATTAAATATAAACCAAATCTATTTTCATTTTTATTTTTCAGACGAAGTTTTACTCTTGCCACCCAGGCTGCGGTACAATGATGAGAACTTGGCTCACTGCAACCTCTGCCTCCCAGGTTCAAGTGATTCCTTTGCTTCACTTCCCTGAGTAACTGGAATTACAGGTGCTTGCCACCAAGCCTGACTAATTTTTGGTATTTTTAGTAAAAACGGGGTTTCACCACGTTGGCCAGGCAGGTCTTGAACTCCTGACTTAACGTCATCTCCCTGCCTTGGCCTCCCAAAGTGCTGGGATTATAGGCGTGAGCCACTGTGCTCGGCTGCCACCAAATTTTTAACAATAAAATTAGATTTAAATAAAATAGGATGTCATAATCACTGATTGGCAAAGCTTACAAAGCAAAATAAAACAAGAAAATGAAAAACGGGAGCATGTGGCCAAGCAAGATGGCTCACTCCTGTAATCCCAGCACTCTGGGGAGGGCTGAATAAGGTGGGTCACCTGAGGTTAGAAGTTCATGACCAGCCTAGCCAAGATGGTGAAACCTCAACTCTACTAAAAATACAAAACATAGCTGGGCATGGTGGCACATGCCAGTAATCACAGCTTCTTGGGAGGCTGAGGTTGGAGAATTGCTTGAACCCCAGAGGTGGAGATTGCAGTGAGCCGAGATCATGCCATTACACTGCAGGCTGGGTGACAAGACTGAAACTTTGTCTCAAAAAAAAAAAAAAAGGTCATGTGAAGAAACATATGTTTTACCATTTAATAAATGCATAATATATGCAACAGTTGGGGCTAAACAAAAGAAAAAAAATGCATAATATGAACAAAATCCCAGGGCAAAAATAAATAACTAAATTAAATAATCAAAACTAGCTCTCAAAACATAGGAAAAGGATGCTCAGCAAAGTATTAAAATTTTCATTCTACATACACATGTCCATGACTAATGCAATCTACTCATACTCTCAAGGAACAGAAAATATAAATAAAAAGGGCTTTCATTTTCATCAAACACAAAGAGAACATGGTAGTAAGACCACACCACATTCACAGGTAGCTAGTGTGTTATTCTTGGTAACAGCGAAAAACTGTCAAGGATATCATGTGGAGTCAGGAGTTTGAGACCAGCCTGGCCAACATGGTTAAGCTGCATCTCTGCTATAAATACAAAATTAGTTATGTGTGGTGGGGGACACCTGTAATCCCAGTTACTTGAGAGGCTGAGGCATGAGAATTGCTTATACGTGGGAGGTGGACTTTAAAGTGAGCCCAGATGATACCACTGAACTTAGGCCCGGGCAGTAGAGGGAAACTCAGTCTGAAAAAAAAGCAAAGAGCAAAAAACAAGCCAGGTGCAGTGGCTCATGCCTGTAATCTGAGCACTTTGAGAGGCCAAAGCAGGCGGATCACCTGAGGTCCGAAGTTTGGAACTAGCCTTGTCAACATCATATAAACCCCATTACTACCAAAAATACAAAATTAACCAGACATGGAGGTACATGCCTATAATCCCAGCTACTTGGGAGAATGAGGCAGGAAAATTGCTAGAGCCTGGGAGGCAGAGGTTGCAGTGAGCCAAAATAGTTCCACTGCACTCTGGCCTGGGTGAAAAGAATGAAACTTCATCTAAAAAATGTAGGAAAAGAAACAAAACAAAACTGTCCTGCTGGGCGTGGTGGCTCAAGCCTGTAATCCCAGCACTTTGGGAGGCCGAGGCGGGTGGATCACGAGGTCAAGAGATCGAGATCATCCTGGTCAACATGGTGAAACCCCGTCTCTACT